ACTTCTCTATTACAAACAAATGCTTCTGTCCTGTATGTGGCCGGCTAACTATGTGGAACTGGGAAATCAGCAGAGTTGGCCTTCCCTGTCTCCTGCCTCTCTTTGCAGTGACCCACTTCTCACCTTCGCAACCAGTGCTCACGGTCTGCCTTCCCCAGCCAATAATCTGAGAAGCTCAATCACACCAATGTGATAAACACTTAATAGAAATGTGTATTCCCTAGGGCAGCATTAAATATATATATATATATATATACCAGACTTCATTTATCCAGCCTACTGTTAACTGGACAGTTCATCATACTGTTTACACATTCTGTACCCTTAATGACTGTTAGCTACTGAAACATTCTAGGTCTTCTCTTCTGGTGCACAAATGTCCTTGTTTCTGTTAAGTATGTGTCGGGAGTGAGCCTGCTGGATTACAGGACAGGCATGTGTTGAGCTTTAGTAGATACTATGAAAGAGATTTCCAAGTGGTTGTACTAATTTATGCTCTTCCCAACTATGAATGGAGTTCCGATTATTTTACATCCTCATTTATAGATGCTACCATCAGTTTTTAATTTTAGATGGTCTGGTGAGTATGTAGTAGTATTGAATTGTGGTTTTAGTTAGAATTTCGATCATATATTTTTGCTTTTATTGATTTCTAGCTTCATTCCCCCAAGGTCAAAGAACATATTTTATATGATTTCAAGCATATAACAAATCTAAAAATTTGTTGACACATGTATAACCAGTATATGATCTATTTTGATAAATGTTCCATGTACATAAGTGTGTATCCTGCACTCGTTGGGTACACGTTCTATAAATGCCAACTAGGTTAATATTGTTTTGTTCAAACTTCCAATCAAGAGTCAGGCACTTAACTGATTGAGCCACCCAGGCACCCCCTTCCTATATTCTTAATGATTTTTTTTTTTTGCCCCATACTATCAGTTGCTGAGGTTGTTTTTTTAAAAAATTTTATGTTTGACTAAGATTGTGGATTTTAATTTTTTCTTTAGTTCTGTCAATTTTTTGCTTTGTACATTTTAAAGCCTACATTATTAGATCAGAGAAGTTTTATTTATTTATTTTAAAAAGATTTATCGTTTTAGAGAGAGCAAGCGAGCATGAGTGGGGGTAGGGGCAGAGGGAGAGGGAGAGAGAGACTCTCAAGCAGACTCCTTGCTGAGCATGAAGCTCAATGTGGGGTTTGATCTCATGACCTGAACTGAAATCAAGAGTTGGAGGCTTAACTGAGCCACCCAGGCACCCCAGATCATAGAAATTTTAAATGATTACACCTTCCTGGTGAACCACACCTTTGATCATTGTGAAACATCCTTCTTTGTCCTTAAATTCTTCCTTGTCTGATGTCAGTAAATAGCTTTAGTTTGTGATTGTGGCAGTTGGTAGTTTCCAAAGATGGCCGCAAGATTTCCCATCCCACTTGCTCTCTTTACAGGGTTACTGCGAAACTCCGGCAGTGCTGGCAGAGCCTATGTTGCCTCCTTTTGAGCCTCTGTGGTCCTGTACATGACTTCTACGGCTAGATCATGAAAATCAATGCACATCTGTCTTGTTCTCTTTGATGCTAGCCCTTGGAATTTAGCTACTAGGCTATGGGAAAGCCCAAACTGGCCCACATGGAGAGACCATAGGAAAAGACCATGTTAGGTGCTCTAGCCAACAGCCTGGCTCAAAATGAAGTGTCATATGTGTGAAGAAGCCTCTCTGCTACCAGCCCTCAGCTGGTGAGTCATCCTTAGCCTTAAGTCCTCCCAGAACCTACGTCTTCCCAGCTGAGGCACCAGACATCTTGGAGTAAAGACGAGCCATACCACTGTACCTCGTGCAGTTTCCTGATTGTGAACATTAAAAAGTGGTTGTTTTATGCCACTAAGTTTTGAAGGTAGAGCAACTGTAACTGGGACAGAGTAATCTAAGTTTTCTAGCCTTTGTTAACCTCTATCTCTATTTTTTTTTTTTTTTTTTAATTTGAAGTAGGCTCCATGCCCAATGTGGGGCTGGAACTCAGACCCTGAGATCAAGAGCCGCCCGCTCCACCGACTGAGCCAGCCAGGTGCCCCTTGTATATCTCTATTTCTTAAGGTGTGTTTCTTATAAGCAGTATGTAGGCTTTTTAAAAAACTGAGTCTGACAGTATTTGCTTTTAGTTGGAGTATTTCATTTTTATTAGGTTTAAAGTAATCATTTCTACACTTGGGTTTAAATCTACCATCCTACTATTTTCTTATTATTTGTTATGCTTTCTCTATGTTCTTTTTCTCTTCTTTCTTGCCTTCTTTTGGGTTGATTACATTTTGGCTTTGCATTCTCCCCTCATTTGTTCATTAGTTAAACATTCTGTCGTAAAACTTTTAACAATTACACTACAAATGACAACAGGCGTCCTGGACTTCCCACTCTCATTTACAGTTTCAGACACCTTTTGACGATAACAGTCTTAAGCTTAGACAGTGACATATGCAGACAAGGAGGCAAAGAAATAAATCAAGATTGAAAATTATATCTAAGAAAGAACTTGGTGTGTGGTTTCTGATACATGAGGTTGTCTGGTCTATACCCATCAGAAACCTACTGTGTTTTTAAAGAGATCCTATTTTCAAAGAAACCATAAGCCTTAAAAAGTCTTTGGCTGCTTTCAGCCTTAAACAGCCTTTGGGCCCCCAAATTTCCATAAGCAGGACTTAGTCTGCCAAAGCTACACAGCCTTCAAGGAAAACACCCTCTCCAAGCTCAGCTTGGATGTGGCTCTGGAGGGTAACAGACAAGGAAAAAGGCCCAGAGGGTGGAGCTAGAGGCCGCAGAGAACAACAGACAAGGAAATGCTCCCTAAGGGCCAAATCAAGGTCAAATCTGGGAGATCTTCTCTCTTCTCAGGCAGCCGTGCTCATTAACTATATGGACGGATGACTGCATGCCTCCCACTCCTTCTTTTATCCAATGGGAGCCTGTTTTGTGGACCATAAGGTCAGACCATAAGGTGCTGCCCTCTGACCTGGGCAAGAAGATGCACACCCTCCAGACACCCTAGCCTTTTTTTTTTTTTCCAAGTTTTTATTTAAATTCCAGTTAGTTAACATGTAGGCAGAGAACCTAGCCTTTGAACTGTATATAGCAGTTGGTAAACTGCTTTTGGGCTTATCTCCTTTGGGAGTTTCATGAGTGGGGAAAAAGTTAGCATGAATATTAGCTGTCTACAGAGGTATGCTGTGGCTGAGACGCCTATGTATTAGCAAACCCATTTCCTCTTTCTCATGGACCGCAGCTCCCATCCTCCCTTATAAGAAAGCATGGCTTTGCTAAGTTCTAGCCAATGGAAAACGAGTGGAAGAGAAATGGCCATTTTCAGGCCTGGCCCATTAAAACCTCCTGAGAGATTTCTCATTCTCTTCCCATTTTGTCTTGATGCTGATGAGCCCAGTAACTTTAGGAGCCTGCCTTAAAATGGAAGATCTACAGGATAGAAGGAGCCTCGGTTCCTGAATCACTGCTCAGGTACCTGTTTTGGAATTTATCTGAGTGAGAAAAAAATACCCAATTGCTAAAGCGGCCAACATTACCCTAAGTACTACACAAAGCTGTCCATCACCTACCTCAAGCACACACAAAACTATCTCTGCCTTGTCTGGTAGTGTAGAGAGGGGAGGGATACATTTTATTTTATTTTTTTTAAAGATTTTAATTTATTTGAGAGAGAGAGAATGAGAGAGAGCACGAGAGGGAAGAGGGTCAGAGGGAGAAGCAGACTCCCTGCTGAGCAGGGAGCCCGATGTGGGACCTGATCCCGGGACTCCAGGATCATGACCTGAGCCTAAGGCAGTCGCTTAACCAACTGAGCCACCCAGGCGCCCGGGGAGGGATACATTTTAAAAACGCTATCCTGATAGCTTTTCTTAGTGGGAACATAATGCTGAATTTTAAAGGAAAAGTCCCCAACATCTGGACCAAGTGTCCTGACGCATGAGTGATGACTCTCATTCCAGTGGGGAAGGTTTCCAAGCTCTGAGGAGCAAAAGTTAGCAAGATTCCAGAACTGAGGAAAACTGACATCAAGCAGAATCAGACAGTTTGAGGTAAAGTTACCATGAGATATCTTAGTTGGATCTTTTCTTCCTTTTTTTATAGATAAGGACACAGGCTTAAGAATTAAAGGGATTCTTAACATAAGTTTGGTAACAGAACTAAGATTACAAATCAGGTCCTCCACTATGATTTATGGCAGAAGAAAATAAATAGGCACACACACCATTCTTCAGCAGGCGAGTAAGCATTTCTCTGATGTCTCATGGTTTTTCTTAAAATTTCATGCAAAATTTCCAATCTACATCATGATATAGCCTCAATAATTTTATGTAAAGAAAAATTTTAAATTACTTGTCATAAAATTAAGAGAACTCTCCAGGAAGACGCACCATGTTGATCTACCCCTGTGCACACTGCCACTTACCTTCAGGTATGCACATATCCCAGTTTGAAAGACAAGGCTTGATCACAGATGCGAAATTATCTCAGTACTAGGGCCTGGTCTTATGCCCCTTCTTGTCCTGATGCCTTCTCTTACCGTCTTTGGTCTAGCATCCCGGGACATCCTCAGCCTCAATCCTAGTGAGTCAAGCATCACCCTCCAGGTGGGCCTGTCAGATTCCCACTCCTCCTTCGAGGTTCAGGTCCAGCATCATCTCCTCCAGGAAGCCTCCTATGACCCATCCAAGTCCAGCTGTTCTTTCCCTGGCCCACGATGCCCTAGACCCGAGGCATACTAATTCCAGCACTTTACCATGCCACATCAAAATGCGGTCTGTTTGCTTACTTGCCTCTTCCAGAAAGTGTGACACATAAAAAGTACCCAATAATACTTGTTAAATGAGTGAACTTAAGGTGGTAGCTATAGGCTCCCCGGGGCCCACATCTCATCATGCCCCCTCCCACCCACTCGTGTTGTGTGGCTGCATGGGCAGGGAGCATAGCAAGTGCACACTTACTGGCTGGGGGAGGGGCTCCGGAGATACTGGGCCTGCACAGCCCTCACATCGGCTTCCTCCTCTTCACTTGGGACTACCTGCTCCTCCTCTGGGTCCCCACTGGTCGCCATGACAGCCTGCCGGTCCCTGTAAGTTTGGTGTGACAAACATGGTTAGGGAATCTGGAGGTTTTGTCGGGGTGGAGGGGGAAGGGGTATATCAGTGATGTCAGGGAGAAGGTCACCACATGCTACTTCTCTGGTGGGGAAAGGACCCGTGCGGGGGAAACCCAGTCCGACTTGGCCCAGCTACCGTTAAACCAGGACACCGAGGCACACCCACCCAAGCTGTGTAAACTGTCCACCTTGGAGTCACAATATTTAAGAAATGACACTTTGGCTCCTTCCTCAGTTTCCAGCAAGGAAGCAGTGAGGGGAACAGGGTCCTGGGTTTGCATTCATAGAGCTAACGCAGTTGGAAAGCAGTGAATTCCCTAGACCAGAAAGATCTTTCTATCGAAACCCCTGGGTGTGCCCCCTCATGCACGCATGGGCACACATGTACCAGCACATACCCTGCCTGTGCACACGTATACACCTTCGCCTCTACTGGGGGAGGTGCAGCTGGCCTTCCTCAGTGTCTCTAACCAAGACCACAGGAGTCGTTACCTTTGGCTAAGGCACCCTCCCACAGCCCATTATGGAACATGAAATCCCTCAGGGCTGGTCCCACACATGGCTGGGCCCTGACACTCAAGGCAGAGCTGCTGCCCCCCTCTGTTGTAAGTCTTGGGCTCACAGGACAAAATGAAGGGAAAAGCACACTCACCACAGGTTTGCCTGTATCTCCACACCAAAGGGCAGTCACACAAGGGCTGAGGGACCCAGATAAAATGGCCAAAAGTTCCGACCAGTGAGAGGGACCAAACTCTCTCCTCTCTCCAGTGCTTCTTCTCTGAGGGGCAGGACAGCTGTTAACAGGAAATCTTAGCTACCTTCTAAATTTAGCCTCTGGCCCCACAGCCTGGCAGATCTCTAGGAGGAAGGAATGCAGTCTCAGGACCCAGACCTGAAAGCAGGCCCCACTTAACTCTTTCCCTCCTGGCTGATTCTCTGGACACCGGGCACTGACATTGAGGAGCAAAGTTAGGAGAAGGTCACACTTCACTGATGGAGAGGCCTGAAGAAAAGGCTTTTCGGGGGCTCTCTCTTCATATCCTCTTGCCTGGGGCTACCTATTCAAAGTCTTTTCAGAAGATGGTCTAACACCAAAAATCTCGAAGAATGAAACAAACTGTATCCAAGCCCCATGTCAGTCTGGAGGGCCCTGGGAAAAAAATACCTGATATATAGAATGGGGAGGGGCCTTGGATCAATGTCGGGAAACCACCATGGTGCTACTAAAGGGTATGGTCATGGCTTTTGACCAGGGTTACATTTCTTTGAACAGCAATGACCCTGGAGAGTAAAGTGGGCAGTTGTGCTCACCCTCCATAATCCCTTCCCCACACTTATGCTCATGGTGATGGTCAAGTGGCAAACCTGGATGGTATAAAAATTCCATGAGCTTCAGGGCACATGGGTGGCTCACTTGGTTAAGTATCCAAATCTTGATTTCCTCTCAGAGTTGTGAGATTGAGCCCCACATTGGATTCCATGCTGGGCGTGGGGCCTACTTAAGATTCTTTCTCTCCCTCTCCCTCTGCCCCTCCCCCCACCTTGCTCCTTCTCTCTAAAAAAAAAAAAAAAAAAATTTCCACAAGGTTCATACACTTCAAATGAGCTCATAACCCACTCTACTCCACTTTGTCACCTCTTATTATCACCATGTCCAAAGCAAACCAAAAACCCGACAGTTCAGCCCCCTCATCCCACACATTCTTTTTTTTTTTTTTCGTTTAAGGAAATTTATTTGTCCCACTATATCAAAAATGGGGGAAATTATAAGTCTGTGCAAACCATACTTTCATGAAATGGATCCTCATACTGTATTCCTTTTAATACAGGCTAATTGCTGCAACATTATTCCTGCAATTTCAAAATCCAGCCAACACGGATACCTCTGCTACTCTGTTTTGGCTTTCAGAGCTGCTGCTGCTCTCAGGCGAGCTTTTTTTCCTAAGTTCAGGCTTGTTAAAGACTCGTTTCTTTTGACAGCCTTCTTGCCCTCAATAACCATCCAGACGCATCCTGCCACTGTCAGGGCAGTCATCGCATAGCTGACCTTCACCCGGATCTTGTTCTTTGCAGCATCAAGCATCTCAAACGAGACAGTCTCTGGGATTTCATCTTCCTTTTTGAAGCGACCCGACCATACCAGGATCTTCCTCTCCCAGTGTGTAGGTTTGTGTAATGGCACTTTGTGGCTGTAAGTGTCCGCCGCCTGGCGCAGGCCGCGCAGGCTCTCCATGGCTGCCTACTCCGCTGACCTGACAGCGCCTCCTGGGCGGTGACAGCGCGGGCGCCAAGTCACCAAACGCCCGCAATAGGAAAGAGGCGGACGGCGCAGGCAGGCAGGACGAGGGCTCTCATCCCACACATTCTATAATTACACCTTCATCCATCAGCCTGTCCATCCATTTGTCTACCCATTCACAAATTGCCCACTATGCGTCGGGCGCCATCCTTGACCAAAGTTAGTAAGACACATCATTACATGCTCAAAATTGTCCTTTTTCCTAGCTAAGTGGAATAACGCCCTGCACACAGTGTCATCAAAAATTGGCTGAATAAATGAATGAGCTCACAGTTTATTAGGAGGAATGAGACACGGGTCAAAAATAACTCAAGCATAAGGCAGAAGGTCGGTTAGGCGCCCTCAGGGAGGGCCAGAGTGCCATAGGAGTTCAAAGAAGGGAGGAGACCTCCCGGCTGGAGAAGTCAGGAAAAGCTTCATAGGAAAAGTAATAATACTTTAAAAACAAGGCGGATTATAGTAGCAGATGTGATGGGGGGGAAGGAATTCCAGAGGGCACTAGCATGAACAAAGTTTGGGGATGTCAGTGGTTAGAACTGAAAAGAAAGCAAACAGGTCGTGTGACAGAGACTCGGCAGGGCCGGAGTGGGGGGCTCCTTTGGAAAGAGTCGCCAAGGAACACATCCCTGAGGAGGCACATGGCACCACCATTGACCGATCATCAAACCTCTATCCTGGGCGTCAAAATAGGGGCTCAGTAATTGGCCGCCTAAGAATGACCGCAATTGAGAAAACATGGGGGTTCATTTCAGGCCCACACACTTCAAGGTTCCATAAAGATGAAAGGTGGTTTGAGACAGAGGTGGGATGGGGGTGTGGGGGGAGGGTCAGGGAAGGACTGAAGGGCTGCGTCAGTCAGGGTAAAGCTCAAGATGACAGGACACCAGTGCAGAGAATAAAAAGGTGGCAGGGAAGCGGGGGAGGGAAAGATGGAGAGCCAACACACCTAAGAGAGGCAACAGATAAGGAGGGACCACTCAGGAGGAAAACATGGCCTCTGTCTTCTATACACCCTCAGTTACCTGCAGAGCGGGACATCAGGCCACTGAAATGGTGGACTAGAAATCAGAAAACCACTTACTAGCCATGTAACCTCCGAGAACTCAGTTCACTTCTCTGAGACTCAGATCCCATTTTTGTAAAATAGAGATCCATAACACTCATCTCCCCATTTTGTGCTGACTATCCAGTCTAAAGTGGGGCGCCCTCCCCTGCCCCAAGCTCATTTCCTGTACCATGTCCAGGCTTTGTTCCCCCTAGCACCATCACCCTCTAAGTAGGGTGACCAACCATTCCCACTTCGCTTGGGACTAAGAGATTCCAGGGACAAGGAACTTTCTGCTTTAAAACCAGGACAGTTCCGTGGGGGAAAGACAGTCTCTTTAATACATGGTGCTGGGAAAACTGGACAGCTACATGCAAAAGAATGAAACTGGACCAGTTTCTGACACCATACACAAAAATAAACTCAAAATGGATTAAGGACCTAAGTGTGAGACATGAAACCATAAGACTCCTAGGAGAAAACATAGGCAGTAATTTCTTTAACATCAGCCACAGCAACGTTTTTCTAGACAGGTCTCCTGAGGCAAGGGAAATAAAAGCAAAAATAAACTATTGGGACTACACCAAAATAAAAAGCTTTTGCACAGCAAAAAACACCATCAAAAAAATGAAAAGGCAACTTACTGATTGGGAGAAAGTATTTGCAAGGGATAAATCCTAAAAGGGGTTAATATCCAAAATATATAAAGAACTTATATAACTCAACACCAAAAAAAAAAATGACCTGATTAAAAAATGCACAGAGGACCTGAATATCATTTTCCCAAAGAAGACATATGGATGGCCAACAGACATGAAAAGACGCTCAACATCACTCATTATCAGGGAAATGCAAATCAAAACCCACAATGAGATATCATCTTACACATGCCAGCATGGCTAAAATTAAAAAAAAAAAAAAAGACAACAAATTACAAGTGTTGGCAAGGATGTGGAGAAAAAAGAACCCTCTTGCACTGTTGGTACAGCCACTGTGGAAAACTGTATGGAGGCTCCTGAAAAAATTAAAAATAGAAATACCATATGATTCAGTAATTCCACTACTGAATATACACCCAAAGAAAATGAAAACACTAATCAGAAAAGATACATGCACCCCTATATTTATTGCAGCATTACTTATAGTAGTCTCAGCAAACTGAGGCAAGTTGGTCTGGTTTTTTCCAGGATTGTCTTCTTTGTTTACTTGTGTAATCTCTATCTCCCCAACCAAATTACCAACTCTCCGAGCATAGAGACGTCCTGTCTTCTTTATGCATCTGTCTGTAGCATGGGTGGGGTGGGGGTTGTAGGAAAGGGAGGGAAATAGAAGAACAGATCCTACTGTGCGTGGGAGCCTTCCAGCAATTGTGGGCAACACCCTTTTTTTATTGGCTTCGAAAACTTGCCTCTGAGATCATGCCCTTTTTATGACGAGATGGTAATTTCCTGTTACCGAAGCCCACACCTTGGTGAGAAGCGCAGGACTTTGTACACCCGCTAAGTGGAGAAAAGGTGGGGAGGGACAGGTGAAGATGGGGAAGGTTCCTCTTGGGGCCTCTGGGGGAGTAGGCAGAGCACGAGTCTAGGCCCATAGGTGAGCTCACCTGCCAGTCCCACTGAGCAGTTGGTTGCGGGGGGCAGGCTGGACAAAGGTATACGGGAAAAGGGAAACCACAGGGACAGAGGGCTGGGCCAGGCCAGAGGCCACTGTGACTTTAACTAGCCAGCCCAGACCTGCCCGTGGCCCCTCCCTGCCAGGCTGGGCTTGGGGCACAGAGGAAGCGAGACCATGGTGGGAAAGATGCAGCCTGTGCTGTGCACGCTCTGGGTCTGGGCCGGTGAGTAAGCCCCTCCCCTGTCTGGCGCCTGGGGGTGGGGGGGTGAGACAAGGGGACTGAGTGCTGACTGAGTGCAGACACCCCCCAGGGATGACCGCCAGTAAAACGGCTGCATTCCCTCTGGGCAGAACCACAGGTTCTGCTGTGCAGGCCAGTGCCCCGGCAGCAGAATGGTTTGTATATGCATATCAACCAATAAAATTCCAGCCCATTTCTGGAAGGAATAATTCACAAATTTTCAAGACCATTAACTCTGATCCCAAATCGAATCACAAGATCTGACACCAGATCTGACAATAGGGACAAAGTATTTGAAATCAAGGTTGTCCCGGAAAATCCAGGATGTGTGGCTCTAGATACGTTCGCTACCTGGGATTTTAACCACTGCCTTAAAACTAGAGAAAAAGGCGGTGGTAAAAGTGGTAACTGCCCTATCATGTATGGGGAAACCAAGGCAGAAGAGCAACACAACTTAGTATCATTCCCAGAGCAAGAGAAGACACAAACCCTTCAAAAACTAGAAAGGCCCTTTCCAAAGGTCAAAGCTCTTCACCCCTTCTGATAACTCTGGTCATTGAAAACCGGGAAGATGGGGAAGCGCCACAAAATAGAAATCAGACATTTGTTGATATAATGGTTAAATCCAAATCGAGTGCTTTTAAAAATAGCAAAGTGGTTGCGTGGGGCCCACGGAGTGTTCACGGGTTCAGACGGAGGCCTTGGCAGTAAGGGTACTGGGCACAGGGAAGAAGTAGAGTGGAGAATGGAAGTTGACAGGTTGGGGTTGGGGGAATTTGAGGAGTATCTATAATTCATTGTATTTGGCTATGCTGAGAAATCCCATCGGCCTGCAGTTTAGAAACTGTTGCAAGCTTCAGGGATCTGGTAAGAATGGGGAGGAGGTAAAGAGTTTTCCTGGGAAATTTAGGAGCCCCAAGGCCTGGGAAGTGGGATCAAGGAGGCTCTGATTCAGACCTCACTTTTCAGCCCCTACAGCAAGCCCCAGGGCCAGCTGGCCTGCCTGCCCAGCAGACCCCACTCCTCCCAACGCTCAAAACCTGTCCTTTGAGACCTTAGGTGGAGGTGCTGGGGAAGGGCTGGGCCAAGGCTTAGAGGTAGACCTGGGAAAGATCCATCAGCTCAGTCTGGCTCAAGCCCCCCCCCCCCCCCCGCACCGAGACCCAAATGACTGGCGGCAGAGATGCCCTCCTGCTCAGGCTGGAGGGTCTGGTTGGTTCTTTCCCTCCTCCAAACCTCTTTACTGAGCACGTAGCTGGTGCAGGTGTCAGTCAGGGTACTTCAAGTCCCCAGGGAGGGAGGCTGCAAGGAAACGGCCATCCTCCCCGGACCAGGCCAGGGACACTCTGATCCTCTTCTTCAGAGCTGCAAGTCTTGCCAGGGATGTCTCCCCCCACCCGCCACCCCCCCAGTACACATCCTTGCATTTGCGGTCTGGCTGCAACCAGCGCATTTTGGGCCTGGGAAAAAACTCTATAAAGCAAATGCTCCCCCAGCTCAGCTTAGAATGAAAAGTGGCCTTAACTCTGAATTGCCTGCACATTTTCCCTCTTCCTTTGAGAAGGCACGTGGCCCTGGGGTGAACTTCTCCAATGGAACCAGTTTTTGGGCCTGTGTTCAGGCTCATGTGTGTTTTCTGCCCCCATCCCCATCCCTCCACCCTCCCAGACTGCCCAGTCCAGATTCACGTGCCCACCACCTTAGCCTCCATACCTTACACTAAGGGGAAGGGGCTGGAGCAGTGGGGCAGGGGGAGATTGGGTTGGTGGCCGGGTCAGTGGCCAGCTCGGGGCATGCAGACAATTTGCCAACTGGAAACACCTGGGGAGAGAATAGCCGTTAGCCATTGCTTTGTGCAAGTGAGCAATGAGGGTGTTCAAAGGTCACACCTAAGAGCAACGGGGTGATCCTCCCCACAGCATCTCAGGAGAGCACACCAGAGGGAGGAGCAGGGAAATGAGGGAGGGCTTCTTGAAGGAGGTGGAGCTTGAGCTGGGTTCCAGAGGACCTATTGGCCTTTGCCTTTCTTCCTTTCTCCATCTGAACCTGCACAGTAATAACCTAGATTTTGCTGATGTCCTGGGCAGAGCAACACCCAGCTGATGAGCCAGTGGGCCCTAGGACTCAACAGACTTTGGGGAGGCAGAAGATATCACGTATGGAAGGGACTCAAATAGAAGGCAATACATTAGAAAATCTAAAAACAATCCTAAAACCAACTGAAAATCAGCCTGATAATTCTAAACACTGTCAGTGACAGAATACTTCACCCTTCTCGAGCAGGTGTCCCCACCCCCTCCTATCACCTCGCTCTACTGCCTCACAGGCATTGAGAGGGGCAGCCTTGTTCCTGCACTGACTTTAAACCCGGGGCAAATTAGTTAACCTTCAGAAACCTCAGTTTCCCACTCTGTGAAACGGAGAGGGTAATCCGTAACGTGCAAAAATGCAGTGTGCCTCCCACAGGGTTGTTATGGATAGTAAATGAGTTTGTAAATGTAAAGATCTTGGAACAGTGCCTGGCACATAATAAGCATTCAATAAACACCGGTTATTATTATTGCTGTTGATATTATTAGTGTGGGCAAGTGTAAGTTACAGAGAATTCGTACACTTTGGTAATCCATAGCCTGAGTGCTGGGATCTGGTAGAAGGGTGCCAAGTCAGAGTCACTGTGGATGAGCCCTGAGTTATCAGCCCTCCCAAAGGCTGCTAGAGAAAACACCCCAACTTGCGCAGAGAACTAAAGCTCTTCCATTCCGGGAATTTTTCCAGCCACTAGACTCCATGAGACTTGATGTGATGGAAGTAGTTGCACAAAGTAGGAACCCACCAGAGGAATAAAAAGTCCATAAGCAACTCTGCCTGGAGTCACTAAAATCTTTGAAAACTTGATAAAAGACACAAACAAAAAAAGCCCCTCCTTCCTGGAACTAGAGGAAACCTTTCTGAAGGTTAAATTAGAAAAACTGAGGAAGGCACTGCTTTACACAGAGAAATAAAGGAATCTATCATCCCAAAATACACAAGATAGGAAAATATATTTTTCTCCCCCATCTAAAGATATTTCAATAAATCCATGGATGCTTGATCCATAGTGTGTGTGTTGGGGGGGCCTTTGCTGGGATCTAGGTGTCCAAGTTCCTGAACTGAGGCGTTACCCAGGCGATTCTGATGTGCAGGCTACATTTAGAGTTAGATCTGGAAACTTGAGGGAAAGTAGGTGTAATCAGTCACCTCTGGCGCCCGGGCTGATCCTCCGCTGGTGACTCGATTCAGTTTTGCGCCATCTGGCGGCTTCCCTGAGTTACTGTCCAGCGCCTGATTTGGTGACTCAACTCAGGGACCCAAGTGTATGCGCAGACTGATTCCGTAGGGCAGGGCCCGAGAGTCTGCATTTCTAACAAGCTTCCAAGGGATGATGATGCTGATTTAGGGACTACTGTTTAAGAAACAAGGCTCCAGGGAGGAACTGGTTTGTGGACGCAGGTGTGAGCCTCATCTTGCCTTTGTCCCCCAGGCCCATCCCCAGGCTTCTGGGTAACCCAGCCATACTGCTTACTGTGATGTTGGTCCCTGGGAGGCCTGGAGGAAAGTGTGCCTGGCTCAGCCTGTTCTTGTATTCCTGGCAGCACTTTACCCTGGTAATCCCTCCCTCCCTCCTTCCTGAAACTTCTATCGGCTGGGTGATACACCCTCTCCTGGTTCTCCTCCTCCTCCTGAAAGCAGCTTCATTCTCCTCTGCCCACTAGGAAATGTTAGAGTTCCCCACACCAAGACCCACTTCTATTTTCACTCTAGATCCACATCCACATCTTTAGGTGACACCGGTTTCCAGTTGACTCACAATTTCCGTCTTCCAACCCAACCTCCCTCCTGAGCTACACACCCACAAACCCAACAGTCCAGCCCACATGACCTCTCAACCTTTTTTTTTTTTAAGATTTTATTTATTTGTCAGAGAGAGAGATAGAGGCAGGCAGAGGGAGAAGCAGACCCCGATGAGCAAGGAGCCCAATACAGGGCTTGTTCCCAGGACTCTGGGATCACGACCTGAGCTGAAGGTAGATGCTTAACCCACCGAGCCACCCAGGCATCCTGAGGTCATTAACATGACCTCTCAAGTTAAATGGCTCAGAAGCACTGCAAACTCACAAGCTGAAAAGCAAACTCATAATCTTTTCCCCCAACCTGGGCTTTTTCAGCGGTCTCTGCAGCATAAACGACTCCCATCCATCCCTCAAATGAAAGCCAGAAACCTAGCAGTCCTCTGTTACAGTGTTTCCACTGGTATGTAATAAACTACCCTGAAACTGAAAATGATAAAATAATTTATTTTGCTCACCAATCTACAATTTGTATGGGGCTTGATGGGGACAGTCCTTGCTCCGTGCAACATCACTTGGGGTGACTTGACTGGGGTTGGAAGACCCACTTCCAAGATGGTGCACTCCCTAGCCGGCAAGTTGGTGCTAACTCTGGGTCCTCTCCTTGTGGGCCTCTCCACAAGGAAGTTTGGGCATCTTCACAGCATGGCAGCTGGATTCTAAGAGCAAAGTTCTAAAGAGAAAGAAAATGGAAGCTGCCAGTACCTTAAGGTCTAGGCCCAGATACTGACCCAGCATCGCTTCCAGCATGTTTTACTGGCCAGGGAGTCACAGAACCCAGACTCAAGGAAAGGGACATGAACTTCACCTCTTGATGAGAGGAGTTTCAAAGTATTTGGAGATCATACTTTAGGATCCCCATATCACCCGATACTTCCTTCTTCCTCAGCTACACCTTCAAGTCATCACCGTGCCCTGACAATTTTAGCTCTTACATCTTTTGAATCTGTTCCCTTTTCTCTGTCTCTCTGCTGCCTAGCTGACGTGACTGCCTCCCCTCGGCGGCTTCCATAGCCTCTCACTGGCCTTGCGTGACTGTTTTGCCCCTTCTCTCTGTTCTCCACGCTGGAGCCAGAACGATCTTTTAAAATAAAA